GCATCCTAGATACTACAAATTTTTCTGCATACTTTGATGAAGGTTGACGATAAATCTTTATGCAAAATAAAAATATTCCGTTCATCAATGGGGTACCAGTGAGACAAGATAGAAGGCCTCCAAGATTCCAGAGGAAACCTTGCTTGAGTCCAGCTCAATCTCAGGAGAGCAGGATTGTACCTCGTAAAGGTGGTAACTATAACTCCAACGTCCCTCGAGAACCATTGAAATGTTTCAAATGCGAGAGACCCCACAAGATTCGAAACTGCCCCGAACCAACTACTGCATGGTGGTCATTTTGGGAAGATGGGGCATCCAACCAATGCTTGTTGGTTCGCACCCCAAAGGAGCAGAAGTGTTAGTGGGAGCAACAAGCCAGTACCTAAGAACAGTGATGCATCAAAGTCCAATGTGCAAGGCAAGGTGTTTACCATGACTGGCTTTAAAGCGACAAAGTCTGATGATCTTATCCGAGGTAAATGCATTCTGAAATACAAACTCATTGATGTTCTTTTTGGCTCTGGTGCTACACATTCTTTCATTTCCTTGGATTGTGTGCATTGCCCTGAATTGCCTTTCTCTGTCCTGCCATATGATGTTCTAATATTGACTCCTACAGATAAACTTGTGATAACCTCGAACGTATATTTAGGCTGCTCTGTAATGATCCATGGTAGGAATTTCTTGGTAGATTTGATTTGCCTACCCTTTTCTCAGCTTGACATCATACTAGGAATGGATTGGTTATCATCCAATCATGTCCTTCTTGATCGTAAAGAAAAAATATTGATTTTTGGTGCTAATTTACCAAGAGCTCCTAGGCTCCTATGTGAGGGTGACTCAAGGAACATGGTCAATGTCAAGGCCTTTATGGTACTATTCTCTGCTGAGACAAAAAGGACTGTGAAGGTAGAGCATATACCAGTGGTGAACGAATTCTTAGAAGTCTTTTTGAAGGATGTAACCAAACTGCCGCAAGAAAGAGATTGAATTCATAATTAATCTAATGCCAGGAGCAAGTCTAGTCTCCATTGCACCTTACCGAATGTCGCCAATTGAGTTAGATGAAGTGAAGAAGCAAGTTGAGGACTTGTTAGAGAGACAATTTGTGAGACCGAGCATATCGCCATGGGGAGCTCCTATACTCTTAGTGGAGAAGAAGGATGGGAGCATAAGAATGTGCGTGGACTACTGCCAATTGAACAAAGTAACAATTAAGAACAAGTATTCGCTTCCTAGAATAGATGATATGATGGATCAACTATGTGGAGCATCAATGTTCTCAAAGATTGATTTATGATCTGATTACCATCAGATTTTGATGAAAAATGAAGATATTCAAAAGACTGCGTTTAGAACTAATTATGAGCATTACGAGTACTTAGTTATGTCATTTGGTGTGACTAACACTTCGACGATATTCATGGATTACATGAATCAAATCTTCCATCAATATCTGAACTAGTTCGTGGTGGTATTTATAGATGACATCCTGATATACTCTGAGAGTCATAAGGAACATGACAAGTATATGAGGATTGTCTTGCGGATAATGAATAAGAGATAGTTATATGCTAAGTTTTCAAAATATGAATTTTGGCTGTCGCAGATACAATTTTTGGGACACTGGTATCACAGAATGGAATCATGGTGGATCTAGTTAAGGTTGAAGCAATGTCTCAATGGTCAAGACCTACTGCTCCAACAAAAGTTTGAAGTTTCTTAAGATTAGCTAGCTATTATAGAAAATTCATTGAGGAATTTTTTAAAATTAGCATTACCTCTGATGAAGCTAACCCAAAAGGGAAAAGAATTTGACTGGGGCCAGAGTGTGAAGCAAGTTTCCAGAAGTTGAAGGAGAGATTAACATCAACCCTTGTGTTAATCCTGCTAGTCCTGAATAGAAGTTTGAAGTATACTACAATGCATCAGGACAAGGTCTTGGGTGTGTTTTAATGCAAGATGGGAGAGTAGTTGCATATGCTTCTAGGAAACTTTGACCACACGAGTCAACTACTCCACACATGATTTGGAGCTGGTAGCAGTGGTCTTGCACTGAAGATATGGAGGCACTACCTCTTTGGAGCAAGATTCTAAGTATTCAGCGACCACAAAAGTTTGAAGTATTTATTCAACCAGAAAGAGCTGAGCATGCGACAAAGGAGGTAGATGGAATTCCTAAAGGATTATGACTTCAGATTATCCTACCATCCTGGAAAAGCGAATGTGGTTACAAACGGTTGAGCAGAAAACCAATAAATAATTGGCTTGCAAATAAGTTTAATTTAAAATTTTCCCCCTTAACCTATGATATTATTTTATTGTATTAAACAAAATAAGGATGTTACAAAGATGGCAAAGCTGAGAAAGCAGCTGGACAAGGTGAGTATCACTGCATCTTATTTGATACAATTATGGTTATGACATGTGTTAGTCTTTGGAGTAGTATCTGCAATTCTAAGTCAATATCCTATTAAAATAATAATAAAAAATTACTGTTACTCCATCTCATACGATACACATCCACTTACGACATATTTCAATCTCCAAAGTAGTATCAGTTATCTTGGGATGATAGTATATTAAAATAATAATAAAAACTTATTATTATTTTTGTATGGACAATACTACTGCTAACATGACAAAAAAAAAGCATTAAATAAGGAATTAATTTTTAAAAAATTATTTTGAGAAATTATTTTTAAAAGTATATTATTTAAATAAAAAAGCCCAAAATAAACACAATGCGTATAAGGCTTAAAAAAAAATAGAGTTGTATAGTGAGTTATGTAAGGTGAGTTGTGGCTTAGGGTCATATTAACCGGCTCTCATTGGTCCAACGAAAAAACATAGCATTCCATATAACAAAGTAAAAAATAATGTTTCACTAAAGAAGATGAGACGGTAATGTACTTTAATTGAGAGAAAAAAAAAGGAAAAAAATTCATTAATCATAATAAAAATGTATTAGAAAAATTAAATTATAATTTTCCTGTCATTACATTTATTTTAAAATAATTAATGTCCTGTTTGTTTTTGCATGATACATTGAATATCTTGTTAATCTAGCTATATATAAGAACAAACTAAGAGGATAAAAGTAAGACTATACCGTATTTATCTTTTTAAATTATTCTAAACAAGACCAACCCTTGGATTTACATTGGGTGGTATAATGGGATCCAAATCACACCGTTCCACACTAGTTAATTCTAATGCGAAAATAAATCTTAAAAAAATTACTAGTACAATGTGAAATATATTTTATTTTGAATGAAAAATAAAATAGATGGGGAAACACCACATAGTTTATTAAAAAATTAAGACAAATTATCGAGATTCGGAAATACCATGCCGTGTGTCTGTGCAATTAGATCTAGTTGCGTAAATGTTTAATATGTGTCTGTGCAATTAGATCTAGTTGCATAAATGTTTAATATTATAGTCATTAATTTACTTTATATACTCGGGTAAATCGTTTGATTAAAATCTACTCTAACATTAATTTTTTAAGAAGTTTTTGTCTTTTTTGCCAACTAATGCTTTAATCAATATTTTTAAAAAATTAATAAGCAAAATTTGTAATTAGAAATTATGTTGAGAGTTGTTCAATTCTTTAATTTTGGAGGGTGTTAGAACTTTTATGATAAGAGGTATTTAACTCTTAGTGTGACTGAGAATTTAATGAAAGAGATCGTTTTTGCAAGAAACATTATGAAACTTAAGTCAGCAGAAAAATTGGTAGGGTCTTGACAAAGAAAATGAACGTACTTGAGATTTTGGACCCTTCCCTCTATACAGACATGAACTTTTCCAAATTTTGAAGATTGTACCATTATGTTGATGTCGGTTGATTAGCTCACGTTTTACCTTTTGAAATGCATGTAGATGTAGGGTTTAGACCAGTAAATTCTTCATTAATTGAAGGTTCAGTGCACTGTTCATGCTAATTGTAGACACAAATCTTAGATATATAGTATTGTCTGTGTCCAAGATGACCAAGGACCTATGCGTGTTAGTGATGTATGTATGGTTCTCGGTATTCAGTGCCGATTTCGTTGGCAATTGCAATTTAGATATTTTGACTGCAATAAAAAATGTTGACCCTTAATTAATCATCCCTCGCCTCGATGTGACCAATGTGGTGCTACTGACTGTGATTAATATAGACCACTTCAAAAGTTTTGTGTATAGTATTACCTGGGTTGAACACTGTTCCATGACTTCAGATCAAGAGTATATTAATTAGAAATCAAAGAAAGACTATAATATTATTTTTTTAATTTTGAACCATCAACTTTTATATTTCCCTATTTTAATCATTAGATTAACACTACACATACTTTAAGCTATTTTTTATTAATGGATAAAAAATATAAAGTTTTAAAATCATCTTTGTTAAAAGAACTTTTATTAATGAAATTAGACCATTAATATAAATATTATGAGTTTGTTGCTAATATTTGTTAAACAATAATGAAAATTTGAATTTAATTAAAATTTAGTGACAAAGTTATATTGATATATAAATAATGATAAATTATTAGTAGGAATGACTAATTTTTTAACAATTAATTTAAAAGTTATATTTACAGGTATTCTTATTAGTTACATAAGTTTGTTTACAATAATAATAATGCATCAAAATTAATTTTATTATGCTTTATATTAATAAAACTATCTATTGATATAGCATATCATATTATTAATATAGATAATTAATATTTATATTAAGAATTTAATTTTTGTTAAATGCTAACCATATCAATTAAAAAAAATTATTTAACTTTACACTGTTAATAGATGGCATTTTTGTTATTAGCGTACCTATTATATATGTCTTGGACAAACTTTTACCTGTATTAGTATTATTATTTATAAGGGAATCTTTCCGTTTGACGCAAGAAATGGTGCAGTGGATCTGCATAATGTTATATATTAACTGCGAGAGTTAGTAATGTTAAGGTGAGGTGTGGCATTGTGATTGTAAGAGAGGGGAAATGGGCTGGGCTATAGCTCTACACGGTGGTGCCGGAGACATCCCCTTTTCATTGCCACCGGAACGCCGCCAGCCTCGAGAGGAAGCCCTCCGCCACTGCCTCCAAATCGGGGTTGAGGCTCTTAAAGCCAAGATGCCTCCTTTGGATGTTGTAGAGCTTGTGGTAAGATTCAAATCAAATTATATTATTTAATTTATACATATTTTTTCTATCGTGTGGAACTTTATAGTGTTGTGTTATACATAATAAAAAAAGATAAATAATAATTTTTAATAAATATTATAGCATTTGAATTTTATATCTTCTACTATAAATATTTATTATATAAATTCTTATCATGTGTAATATCACTCGTTAAAAAATCTTTATTTGTAAAATATTTTTTTAATTATTCTTTTTTATTGTATATTTTTGCAAAAGTAGAACATCTCAAATCAAATATTGTGGATATGTTTGTCTTTTTTTTTTCTTTTGTGTGTGTTTAGACTGCTCGAAATAAATAAGAAAAATTGATCAGCTCCTCAGGTCCGGTGTTATTGGGAAAATAGTCTGATTAAAATAATTTTAATTTTTTTAAAAAATAATACTTGAAATTGTTTTATTTATAATTATATTTTTCACGGACATTATTTGCTAACAGAGAGAATAGTATTTTCTTGAATAATGAATTTCTTACATTATACGGTGGTTAAATCTAGGCGTGGGAAAAAGAAAGAAAGAAAGGGTAAATGAGGGAATTGATAAAAAAAAAAAAAAAAGGATAAAAAGAAAGAGTGAGTATAAATGAGGAGTCAAAAGAAAATGAGAAGTGAAAAAAAAAAAAAAGAGTGAATTTTCTTTTATTTTCTTTGTGAAGGTGTACTAGCACTTTGTGAATCGGTGTGAAAATTTTTCTTAAAAAGGATGAAGGATCAAACTTCAGCCTGAGGTTTGATTCAAAATTATATTAGCCGGTTCTTATTTATCTGTTAAAGGAGAAAATAAATTACGCAATAAAAAATTCTCTTATTTTATTAAAATTAATTACAAAATGTATATACTTACCCTTTGTTAATGAGTTTTTCCTTTACTCTTAACTCAAATAGTATAAATATTAGACGAGAAGGTTTTTACTAAAAATTATGTTAAACGGTATTGAAAATAGAAATAGAAATATATATATATATATATATATATATATTTATTTATTATAATTTTTGACAAAAAAAATTATTTTTATTCCTTATGTTTTAAGGACACTTGTTAGCATTTTCATATTGTATAAAAGGATATTAATAAAAAATAATAATCAATATTATCAGAACGTATATTTAGAAAAAAAAAATTAAAAGAAAAAGAAGGAAATGACATATTTTTTAATTTTAAATTAAAATAATTATATTATTTATTAAATAATAATAAATATATAATTAATACTTAAATTTATATTAATATATCAATTTATAGTTTTATTTAAAAAATATTAATTTTAAATGTATATATTTAAAATACAAAAGTTGTCATTCTTTTCCTTCGCCAACAACTATTTGAAGGTTTTAAGGAAATAGTAAAACAAAAACAATTTTTTTACTCTTAGGACATATAAACACGAAAAAAGGCAGTAATGTACCTTCAAGTCACTTATTTTCGTAGCTGACCCGAAATTAGATTTATGGAATATTCTTAGCTGAGTCTATGGAAATACCTAGTGATTTCGAGAAAAAATAAATAAATGGAATCTATGAATGACAATGCCACAGGCATAGCAGCAGAGTATGGTTTATCGTGCTTACAGTTTGGATCTATGGATTTAGGGACTATAATTATGTTCGAAGCTGCGAAATTTTAAAGCCCTTTCTATTTATATGTAGGAACGTGGGTACTGAACTAAATCAATTGCAATGTAATATTTATTTTATAATCAAAACCTTAGTTTCATAGATTTTAAGATATTTCATGAAGAGAAATGCCTTGTGTGTTATAGAACTTTACTAAACGACTGAATGCTGGCTAAGAGGTTTTGTAGCTTTTGGTTTTATAATTCTTAATATTTCACTCCATTGATTTTCACTCTCTAGCATGTTGTTGTGGGCTTTTTTAACTTTTTAAGGTTCGTGAATTAGAAAATATTCCACACTTCAATGCGGGTAGGGGATCTGTGCTGACCAACAAAGCCACGATTGAAATGGAGGCTTCTATTATGGATGGCAGCACAAAAAGATGTGGAGCTGTTTCTGGGATCAAAACAGTTGTCAATCCCATTTATTTAGCAAGATTGGTCATGGAGAAGACTCCTCACATATATCTGGCATTTGATGGAGCTGAGGAATTTGCCAAAGAACAAGTGAGTTTCGTTAATGGTTACAGTGTATTTGGTAAAGATTATTTCCCCTGATTAATTGAAAAAAGCTCTGAAAAATACTATTCCTTTCTATTTTACGATGGCTAAAAATTCAGCGTTGAATCCCAGTTACAACCATCCATAATTTGAGGTGAAACTGGTTGTACCGTGGGAATTACTATGCTCCTTCCATTTGAGGTGCTTTTGAACCATCATTGCGTATAATAAAGAATTGGAAATGTTTGCTTGACACCCGTTAAATGGGTTCTCACTATTTTGAATTTGTGCAGCTCTTCTTGAGTAGTTATAGCTTGTGGCTCATAGTTCATCAGTGACCATTAACTCTTTGGTTCCAGGGTGTTGAGACCGTAGATCCCAGCCATTTTATTACTGCAGAAAATGTTGAGAAACTACAGCAGGCTAAAGAAGCCAACAGGGTCCAGGTATTTAGTTTTGCCTAATTCTGTGTATGGACAATGCGGTATGCTTAGTTTGCAAAATTTCACCTAAACAGAAGTATATGTATTTGTTACATCAATCACTGACAATTAATTTTATTCCCCCCATATGGTATTGATAGCTTTTGTGCATCAAAACATGTAGATCGATTATACTCAACCCATCCAAAATGGAACCAAGGAAGAAACACCAATTGTTGCTAATGGTGATAGTCAACTAGGAACTGTTGGGTGTGTGGCTGTTGATAGTAATGGGAACCTAGCTTCTGCTACATCCACTGGAGGATTAGTGAACAAAAGGGTTGGTCGTATTGGTGACTCACCTATCATAGGTGCTGGGACATATGCCAACGAGCTTTGTGCTGTCTCAGCAACAGGGAAAGGTGAAGCAATACTACGTGCCACTGTTGCAAGAGATGTTGCTGCCTTGATGGAGTTCAAAGGTGTTTCTCTTAAGGAAGCTGCTAATTGTGTTGTACATGAACGCACACCAAAGGGCACTGTTGGTTTGGTTGCTGTTTCTGCTGCAGGAGAATTGGCAATGCCTTATAACACAACAGGCATGTTCCGAGCATGTGCCACTGAAGATGGATATTCAGAGGTTGCAATTTGGTCTGCTACCTAAATTGTGTGATAACGGGCTTATCTTTTTTCCAAGATTTATGTGTTCCGGATAATGATGTTACTATTTAATTACCATGTTATCCATGCCTTTGCATACATTTAGTGTGTCCTGCATTTAAAATCCAGTTATATTCTATTATTGTGTTTAGATTAAGCATAAGACTTGGATAAGGAAGAAAAGAAAAAGAGAAAAGAGATAATATAAAAGTAAGTGATGATCGCAAATATTTGTTGCTAATTCTCATTAAAATATGCAGAAAAATTAATGTAGTCTAGGATGCAATCATAGTTTGTCTCCAGTGATATTGGATGAGAACATACATCAAACATGTTGTAAACATTAACTCAGAAAGCAAGTAAATGGGAAAGTTTTGTAGTTCCAATTGCAAATTACTCACTCAAAAAATCAAATTGTAAAGTTCAATAAGTAGAATACAATAACCCTTAGTTTGTCCATATAGATTCTATCCCAATTCCTCTTAAGATTTAATACTCTATCCTTTCTTTAAATTAGGTTAATTTAACAAACAAAAAATAACTTTAAATTCTCATACGAAATTAAGTAAATCAATGGGCTCCAATCTCTAATCTTTAGGATTAAGCAACCTTAGAATTAAACTCGAAATTAAGCAAATCAAGTTTAGAATATTTGTTAAAAACGAATTAGAAGTTAAGTAACACCCTCACATTCAACTCTTAACTTAGTTCTAAGAGATTGGGGAAAGAAGAAATTCATGAGAAAAGTGGTTTATATTAACATTAAAGGCTAAAAAATTCAAGAATCTATATGAACTCACTAGGAATTACAAGAAAATTAGCCCTCCATAAGGATGGGTCTCATTATTACAAGAGAGAAATCAAGAAAAATTAATGACACCAAAGTAAAAATCAAAGAAAAGTAAGAAGAAAATAGAAAATCAAACCCTAGGATGTGGCTTTGGCTATTACCCAAAGTTGACCTAACTCTACAAAAGTGTCCCCAAAACGGAAAAAAATCTAAAGTGGCAAAAAGCTCTTACCCTAAAATGGTAAAAATCTATTTATATTAAGTTTGACGCCTTTCATAGTAATTACTCTCGCTCATAAGAGTAAACACGTGCAGGTCCTACAACTTGGGACTCTCGTAAGGTCTGAGTGCTTCCTTTGGCTTTGAAGTGATCACTATTGCTTCTAAAAGTGTTTACTTTGGCCTGTCCCTTGGAATTGGCTCTCTGATTTTCATCTCATATTTTCCAAAGAGCCAAAAATCTAAGGGATTTTCCTGGAAATTCCTGCATAATTATTCAAATGATCAACATTGCAAAATATATTTACATAAATAAGTGTAAATTGAACAAAAATTAAGAAAGCTCTGATTTTTAATCTAAATGAGATTTTTATGTATTTATCATTTTTAAGTCTATTTTTTCTGTTAAAAATCTATAAACAAATAAACAAAATATTTATAAAATGTGGATTCATCACAATCCCAAACTTAAACTTTTACTTGGCCCTAAGCAAACTAAAACTCAATAAAATTGAATGTAAAGGGTTATATTTATCCAAAAAAAATTTTCTCAAAAATTTTCATTTCAATCTTAAACTCTAATTGACGCTTCCACTATTTCCAAAATCATGGATTCATTCAACAAAGAAATCACATTGATATCAATTATTTTCATGCGAAATCCCACTAAATTGAAATCAATTCTAGTAAGGTTTCATGCAATTCACATCATGCAAAGAAATTATCTAGCTCACAGAATTGTGTTTCACTCTTCAGTCATCAGTGTTTCAAGATAAATGTTTCCCTGAATTCATGCATTTTGCCTTACCCTACCTTATGTTTGCCTATATTCTCAATCTCCTTTACCTAGATACAATGAATTCACCTATCAAGAGGGCTTTGTTGGTCATACATGAGTTAGGTTAGGTTTAACTTTGATCAAGGAGGGTCAAAAGCTCAAGTGAGTTTTTAAGAGAAGGGATTTCTTTTGAGTGAATGAACACAATAACTAGAATAGAATGCATTAAATAATGCAGCTTAAGAGGTTCAAGCATTCATTTACCAAAATTTTTTATTTTTACCTTATGTGGGGTTCTTTTCAACACATGGCCCTTGCTATATTTTTCTTTTCTCTCTTTTTCATTCATTCATCAATTGTGATTTTATGGACTTTGACAATCATTCTCTTCTTCAAATTTAAGCATTTTTTTTACATGTATTATTAACAAGTATGATGTCCACTACCCCAAACTTAAGAGTTTGTGACCTCAAGCAACTACAGTCATAATCAGCACCCCAAACTTAGTTTATTGCATCCACTCTTGATGCAACTCAAAAGAAATTCCTCTCTTAAGGTAAGAAAAAGAGTTAGGCAGTTTAAGTTTGGCAAAAATGATAGTTTGGAACACGGTAATTAAGGCGGAAGTGTTCTAGGGTGGATGAATGTGTGCAAAGAAGGTCTCAATCATCTAGAAGAAAAATTGCACAAAGCATATTCAATTAAGAAGTAGGACAAGTTCTAAAAAATGAATGCAAAAATATATGTAAACTGCACACAGAAAAGAGAATTCAAGGCCCAAGTCCCTACCATGGTAAAGGTGATAATTACTTAGCAACATGTGAGTACAATTCACCTTAAAAGAAAATATGTTCAGTTTGGTATGAATGGTAATTATTTACAAAATAAAGTGTATTCAAGAATTGAATGGGAAGTGCAATCAGAACATAAAATCAGAATACAAAACTGAACTAAATTAAAAAGAGAAAAATAATAAAAATATTTTTTTATTTTATGTTAGAACTATGCAGGAAAATTAGATTAAAAACATGTGAAATAGAGGCAAAGAAATCACCCATATTTCATAGATGATGGATTTACAACTCATGGATCAAATTCATGAGTTGAACGGATGCATAGTGGATTCAGCACGGAAAGGAATAACAGAAATTGAATGGATATTTATGTATAAAAGTAGGGAAGCTGTTACAAAAAATTCAGAGGAATACTAACTAGCAAGTGCACTAAGTAGTTGTAACAAGTAATAAAATTTGGAAATCAATATGAGCCCCAAGTATCATCCACAAGGATCTTATTTTCAATTACTGCTTCACAACTTAGCAATTAGTTGAACCACACAATTCGTTTGGAAGGTTTGTAACATGTAAAAGTAAGAAATAAAAATAATAAAAGGCAATAAACTTGCTGTAAAAACAGAGTACGAATTTTGTATTAAAAATGCTTTATGGAAAATAGTTAGGAATTAGTTCACCAAATTTTCAATTGCAATATAATCATATTATGAACTCTTGAGAATTTTAGTTAATTGATAATCAATTTCACTTCTTTAACCAAACGATAAATCCTTGCCTCATTGATCCTAATACCTAATTAAACCTCCCTAATTCCTTAGGTGAAATTTAATCAAATACTGCATTAAGTTTTAGAAATTATAAGATTACTAGATCATGATACTTATTCCTAAGAGCTCAATAACCTAGGCATATGATTCAGATTTGCGAAATAAACTCAATTTCCATTGATGAAGATTTCTCTAAGTTTAATTGCATGAAGGATTAGTTCACAACTGCATTAAGAACATATACTTAATTCAATTAAAATCTCAAGATCCAAATCCACAATTACATAACAATATAAAATCTGGATCCATAGATCTCCAATCAAAAAGGTTTAGAACAACATTACAATAGAATAAGGAGAAGTAAGAGAAGAAGAAGACAAAAGGCAGAAAAACATGTTCTAAGACCCAATCTTCACATTGATTCCTCTAGCAATGAAGTTTGAAAGTCACTCCCAATCTCTCTCTCTCTGACTTCTCTTGGAAGTTAAAACAGTTACAAAGTGGAAACTAACAAAAAATGAACAAAAGTCCCCTATCTAAAATCTTAACTTCTATTTATATCCCTTTTTCCGCCTTTTCTACTTCTTCAATTTATTCTGTGAGAATTATATCATGAAGAGTTTTCTAGAAGCTTCTATAGTTGAGGTGGGAACTCAAATCGTCCATAGTTGACGCTTTAAAAGTGATTTTCAAAATTCTATTAATTTGCGTGGACACTCTGGTTTAGAGCTTTTGCCTTGCGCGTGTTCACTTTCAGCAGTCAGAGTGTTAATGCGCAGCTGCGCGTGGACAGTCTCAGTGGCGAGAGTGTTAACGCGCAAGGTTCCTAAGCAAATTAGCCTTGGGCATTATCACTCTCAGCAGTGAAAGTATTAACGCCTAGGCTCTTCACAAATTCTGTTGCTGGAGTGTTCATTTTTAGCACTTAGAGTTGTTACGCACTTGATCTTCTTGTATTTTCTTCTTCAAAGTGTTAACTGTATCCACTCAAAGTGGCTACGCGTAATACATAACACTTAATTCTTGATCTTTTAAGCCCAATTCATCAACTTTGTTCACTTGAATATCAACTTCAAGGTCTCAGCTCAAGCTTCTGTACAAAAATTAATTCTTTTTAAGCCAATTTTCTCTAAAATTAGAATAAAATCAAAAATTCCAAACTAACTACAAAATTAAGAATATTAATACAATTTTTATGGTATTTTCAAGTTTATTGAGTACTTTACCACTTATTTATTCCCAAAACTATACTAAAAATGTGGATTTATCACCACCCCAAACTTAGAATTTTGCTTGTCCTTAAGCAAATCAAACCAAACAAAAAGGAAAAGTTCATCCATTTCTCAAAAATCAATTAGCAAGCTGCCTTTTTGATGTGATCCTAGGAGTCATCAGATCGCTCATGTATATACTTTTGTACTTGCATTGTTCATGCTTAGAATAGTTTGTTTTGGGCCTTGTATTTTGGTCATGGGCTCGGGAAGCCCATTGGGCTTTGGGGTGGAGTCTTTTGTATTTTTCTTTGGGCTTGTATTGGGCCATGTTTCAGGGCATGTATTCAGCCCAAATCCCCATCCCCTTTCTTTTCCTTGTTTTAAGGCCTATTTGAGACCATTTTGGGCCTTGAGTTAGCTTGCCTATATATAGGCTAAGCTC